CAGGGGCAGTGAGAGGATTCACCAGAAAGAGTGGGGAGCCGAACAGGCAGATCAACAAAGTACACTGTTGAGGGGAGCAGAGGCGAGACAGGAGAGGTCTGCTGTGCTATGTGGATCACCTCTGGGACTAGTGATCAAACTTTCACTCAAGTGGCCACCATTTGGCTTATCTTAGCAGTGCAGCGCTCCAACTCACTGGGCCACCAGGGAAGGCCCCATATTGTGCTTTTTTTAATCTTTGCCTTGAATCTTCCACTGAGAAGCTACTAGAGGTTCGTTGTTTCTGTTGAAGAATTAGTTATCTCATTGCTTATTGCTGTACTAACCTGACTCGTATATTTAATAATGGGTCCTTGTTTTTTGTTTTTTTTAGATTCGCCATGAAGTCAGTGTTAATAATGTAATACATAAACTCTGCAGTAACCAGTGCTTTAATAAGTACAGGTTAGCCAATGGTCTAATAATGAATTGCTGTGAACAATGTGGAGAGTACTTGCCCAGTAAAAGTGCTGGAAACAATGTCCTGGTAATTGAAGGTCAGCAGAAAAGATTTTGCTGCCAACGTTGTATTAGTGAATATAAACAGGTAATTCTCTTTAGTTTTTTTTTTTCCCCTAATGAGTTTTAAGTGATAAAGTTTATAGTAGCTTCTCACTCTTGCCTTACATTACCCAGATTTATCTTAGAATTTCATTTAGTTCTGTTTTTGTCATTCTCTTATTGAGTTGTCCCAGGTCAAATGAGTATTGAAATCATTTTATTATCTGTTTTGAATTTTTACTATATACAGACACTCATTGATGAGTAAATCTTTATCATTTTATACTTCTGCAGACAATTGTATACTCCATTTAACTCCATATTCTCACCAAAATTTGCTACTATTAATTTTGATTTAAGCTAGTGTAGTATATTTGAAATGATTACTTCATTGTGATTTTAATTTGTTTACCTTTGATAACTAATATTTTTCATCACTCATTTATCTTCTATTTTAAAGTGCCTGTTCAGTTCTTCTGCTCATTTTTTTTAGGATTTCTTTGCATATTCTGGATTTCCATAAAATAAATATATTTGGAAGATGTTCTCCTCGACTGTGTCTAGTTTTTTAAATTTTTTTATTGTTGTTTTGGAGAAGCTTAGGTTTTAAATGTTGATTAAGTCCAGTGTACTTAATAGCTTATTTACTAGTTTTGTTTATTCTTTAAAGAATCTTGCCTACCAAGGTTCTGAACATATATATATATATATCTTTATTTTCAGAAGCTTTTTAGTTTTAGATTTTATGCTTAGGTTTGTGATTTATCACAAGTTATTTTTGTGTGTGGTGTGATGTAAATGTTTACCTGATTTTGAGACATTAAAAACTTCAGAACATCACCTTGTACTCTAAATTGGTACAATTTTAATTTGTCAATCATGTCTCAGTAAAGCTGGAAAAAAAGACTTTAAAAAGTTCTTATAATCAAGGTTGTGTGGTATTAGCATATAAAGATAAATAGATCAATGCAATAGTTCAGAAATAGAGCCACAGATATAACCAGTTGATTTTAGCAAAAGGCATTAAATCATAAAATCATTTTTAATAAATGGTACTGGGAAAACATTTTTGTTTATATGCAATAAAGAGACCTAACTACATTCTGTTACATACACAAAATTTAATTTGAGATGAAGCATAGTGGAAAACCAGAAACATAGTTACTAGATATTTATTTAACTTTTAGGGGAAAGTAGCTCTGAACATCTAGGTTTACCTTTATTATTGCCTTTATTTATGCTGCACCTCATACTTAACAAAAGTTTTAGAAGTGGTTTATAGAAATGCTCAATGAACAAAGAATATGTAGAACAACTTAGAATAGATTTTTTTCAAAAAGTACATGGCAGAAATAACCTAGTGAACTTCTGATTCATTAATAAACAACTATGTTAAGTCTTATAATTTTTTACAACTTCTTTTTAATCCATTTTTAAGTGAATCTGCTTACACCTTAAGCAGATACACCTTAACCTCACTGCCTTTACATTAAGCGCATAAATACACTTTTCCTCTAAAGAACATAAGGCTTGCAGACAGGTTATAATTTTTTTTACTCCTAAATTTATACCAGAGATCGAAATGGGGAAAATACACACAAATAGAAAGAGAATAACAAAATAGTCAGATTTTCTAGAATAACCTTCATGTCTGTCATTGTAATCCCCCCAGAGATAGTCTTTATTTTACTATGCATGTATCATAGTAATGTAAAATAGCTCATAATAGTTGGCAAATATAGGGACATTATTTTTGTATGACAGAAGTTTTGTAATGTGTTCCCATTACCAAATGAGTATTTTTAAACAACTATTTTCCTTAAAAATAGTTAATACTCATTTTCCTTAATACTCATATGCTATATAATGCATGTAGACTGCATATACAACATTAGTCCTATTCCTAGGGACTTCATAATGTAGGATATTACTCTGGCAGCTTCCTCATACATCTTATGTTTTCCACATCTCTTGATAGCATCATGTTCTATTGTGCTTGATTTAATCTCGTGCTGTTTTGTTCATCAAGGCCCCTAAACGTACAAAATCCACTACTAATGTTGCCAGTAAGAGACCACATCGAGTGATTGACCTAATGAAATTAAGAGTGATTAAGGACTATGAAAGTGGAAATGACATTTATTGCTCGCCAATCAGACATGTCCCATTCTACAATAGCTGCAGTCCTGAAGAACAAGAACAAAGTCATAGAAGCTGTTAGAGGATCTGCTTCATTGAGAGCAACAAGAATTACAAAAGTTCGAGAAGGGCCTATATCAGATATGGAGAAACATCTAATGACCTGGATTGAAGACCAGACATACAGACATCTCTCTTAGCACATATCACTACCAATGCAAAAAGTTAATTTGCAATGTTGAAAGAAAAGGCTGGACCCTGCTACAATGTTGAATTTATTGCTAACTCTGGGTGGTTTAAACATTTCGAGAATTGTTATTCACTATAGAATGTAAAAGTGAGTGGGGAGTCTACAAGTACTGATATAAAGGCAGCTGGAAAATTTTTGGATGTGCTAGATAAGCTGATTGTGGAGGAAAGTTACTTACCAGAGCAAATATTCAATATGGATAAAACCTCCCTGTTTTGGAAACATGCTAAAAGGACTTTCATCCTTAAGGAGGCCAAGTTGGTGCCAAGTTTCAAGGCTTTTAAAGGCAGAATAACAGTCTTACTTGGAGGCAATGTTGTAGGCTACAAATTAAAACCCTTTGTAGTCTGGCATAGTGAGAACCCCAAGGCCTTCATGACACAAGCTGTGCATCTTCTGTTGACTGACAAGTTCCAGATGGAAGGGAAAAGGTCTGAAAAATCAGATTTTCCATTAATAACTTATATTACGACCTCCCTTTTTTGTATAATCATAATATCAAAATATTCTGAGCAACCATCAGTTTACAACTGGATTGCATTGGCCTCATAAGCTGCTGCCTGGCCCAGGCAAGCAGGTGCTGCCACATGGTGGGAAATTCCTCTTGAAGTCAAAAGTAATCTTACAATTGACTGATTAATAAAAACAATTTGCTGTTATAGTGAAATCAATATTGTAAAATAAGGCAGTACTAAGAACATGCTAAAAAATAAACAGAGCTCTTTACTGCCCCAATGAGAACCTAAATCTCATCACTCTACTATGTTACTTAAGCTTTCAATTGTTTAGTTTTTAAATAAGGAACTTTCTTAAGCTTACTATTGTTCAGTCTTTAAGGAATCTTACATAAACTTTCTATTTAGTCTTTAAAGAGGAACTTTACTATATCTCTTTTAGTGATGGATTTACAAGAAAACTTCTCCACTCTTGCCCTCCACTTTACCTCTTCACCTATAGGATATCTCAATGAGAATGAAGGTCATTAAATAGTAATTAAGGTTAAAGAGACTTTATTTTAGCTAATCATCACTGTGGTAAATATGTTAGTCTTAAATTTTATGAATTTATGTACCTGTCTTAACTTTAATAGATTGATTTTAAGAATAATAAATGTTATAATCTCAGTTGGAGGTCAATATGACCCCAAACTGTTCTTAGAAAAAAAGAGATGGTTGTGATCTCTCTGTTCAATTCATATGCTAATGTTATCCCACTGCTTGCTTATAATGTATAAATAAAGTTCTGCTGAGATGAGAGGCAGGAAGACTTGCACCCGACTCCGACTCCTGTGTCTTCCTCATGCCCTTTCCCCATTTCTTGGAATCTCTGTTACCGACGCCACCTTCCCACCTTAAAGCCGTGTCTGCCTTGCCCCCCGAAAGCCTATTATTGGGGCCAGTCCATGACACGTTCAAGCATATCAATAAGCACACACTACCAGTATATTACCAGAGCAATAAGAAGTCATGGATGACACAGCTACTCTTTCAAGATGCTCTCCTGAATTGTTATTCCTGCGAGATGGAGAAGTACTGTCTGAAAAGTAACATACCTTTCAAGGTTTTACTTATTGTTGATAATGCTCCTGGACTTCCCCCTTTTATTGGTAATCTTCATCCCAATATCAGAATGGTGTTTCTTCCACCACCATACTGCCTCATTGATCCAACTAATGGATCAAGGAGTTATAGCAACTTTTAAAGCCAACTACCTGAAGAGGACCTTTGTCCAAGCCATTGCTGCAACTGAAGAAGACCCTGAAAAACTTTTGACACAGTTCTGGGAGGATTACAATACCTGTGACTGCATCAAGTCCCTTGCTTGGGCTTGGAGTGATGTCACCAAGGAGTGTATGAGTGGCACCTGGAAGAAGATAATCAAGAGTTCATCCATAACATCAGAGATTTTGCCAAGGATGAGGAAGTTGCAAAAATCAAATCTGGCTGAGATGGCAAGCAGCTTTAATCTGAGTGTGGATGAGGAGGACATTGAGGAGCTCCTAAAGGCAATTCCTGAGGAACTGACTAATGAGTTGTTAGAATTGGAACAAGAATGTATAGCTGAAGAATGGGTCATAATATGAAACTGCAGAAGTAAAAGAATCACAAAGAAAATTCAGTGAAGCTTTTGCAGACCTCAACAATCTCCTTGTTGAGGAGCAAGTTTGAAAGCATGGATCCCAACACCAAGAGGTTTTCATTGATAGAGAGGAATGTTCATGATGCATTATCTGCTTACAAACATATATGAGAAGAAAACAAACAAGCAAACCATGAACATATTTCAGAAGAGAACTGAAGAAAAACCTCAGGCAGGTTCTTCAGGATGTATTCCAGAGAAAAAACATGGTGATCATAGGATATGGCAGTCCCATGCAAGGTACTGCTCCTGAAGACCTCCTAGTGGGACAAGATATAGAGTTGCAAGATAGAGATGTTGGTGATCTCAAGTCTCTAGAGGACTAGGCTAATGTATTTATGTCTTTAAATTTTTTTTATGTTTTTACAAAATATTTTTAAAAAATAAAATAATAGTGTTTTAATAGAATAAAGTTAATAGAATAAGAATATAAAGAAAAAATTATACAGCAGAAAAGTATTTAAAAATATTTTAAGCTGCATCAAAAAGTAAAAGAAATTTAAGTTTATAAAATTATATTAAGCTAAGGTTAACTTAGTGTAGAAAAAAAATTTTATAGATTTTAGTATAAACTAAGTATACAGTATTTATAAAGTCTACAGTAATGTACAATAATGTGCTAGGCTTTCCCATTTATTTACCACTCACTAGTGCTACTTCAGTCCTGTAAGCTCCCTGGTAAGTATACTATACAGGTGTACCTTTTATCTTTTATTTACTGTACCTTTCTTTTTTTTTAGATATGTCTATCTACATAAATACCATTGTGTTACAGTTGCCTACAGTATTCAGTATAGTAACATGCTATATAGGTTTCTGTCTTTGGAACAATAGGCCAAACCTTATAATCTAAGTGTGTAGTAGGCACCTAGAAAAAAATCATACTGTCTAGCTTTGTATAAGAACATTCTGATATTTACTAGACAGTGGCATCACTAGCGATATATTTCTTAGAGAGCAGTCTGTCATTAACTGATGTTCTACTGTATATGAAGACCTCAGGGAAAACTTAGTATATATATATACTAGGACATACAGTCATAAAATGTAAAAACTGAACTTTTATCTAACACAATGGTTTAATCAGTGGTATATATAAACATTATAACTGGGGGAGTACTACTGACATCTAATGGATGGGAGCAGGTATGATGAAAACATCTTGTAATATGTAGGACAGCCCCCGCAACAAAGAATATTCTGGCCCAAGATGTTGCCAAAGTTGAGAAATTTACCACCAAAGGATAAATAATAGGTAGCTGGATGGTTAGTATTTGCGAAGCATAGTGAGAAGACAACTAAATTTTCATCTTCATAATTAAGAAATCAGTTGATTTCCTAAAATTGGGAGGAAAAATAGCAGTATAAACATGTTACTTGGTTAATACCAAAAGAACCAACTAAAAATGTTGAAAGTGGTCGACTTCTGGAAAAGGGGGGAAGAGGTGATTGTGGTATTGGATTGTTATTTCTTATTTACTAGATAGAACTAGTAGATGTTTTATACTAAATGCTCAATTTTGATTCAGACTTCTTGAAAATGTTAGAGACGAATGTTCTGCAGCCTCTTTGGTGACCTAGGGGTTGAGTCTCAGAGCTATCATCTCTATGGCCTGAGTTTAATCCCTGGTCAGGGAATTAAGTAGCCTACCTATGGCACATCAGACTTGTCTTGCCTTGCTGCTCCCCTTGGCATGTATTTCAGATTTGTCTGTTCTGTTCCTCATTCTGTCTCTAGTGAATCATCTCACCACTGTACCTCTGGCCTACACCCCAGTTTGAAACAAAAATTAAATAAAATCTTAAAAAAAAAAAGATACGGGCCACCCTGGTAGTACAAGAGTAAGTCTCAGCACTATCAGCCATTGTGCAGACCTCTTTTGTCTTGCCCACTGTACTTCAGTCAATCTGCCTATTCTGCTCTCCACTCTTATCTCTGGTGAATCCTCTCACACACACCCCCCACACCTCTAGCCTCAGTTCTTCTATGCATAAGTAAGTAATTTTTTTTTTTTTAAATGAAAAGATAACCAGTGTTCTGGAACAAAACCTTACCCAAAGTCACACAGCTAGATTTGACCTCACATCTGAAACCTCAATTATTAGTCTATTGCCAGTGATAGAAGTATTTAATTCTTAATATTCTTAATTCCCTAATAAAACTTAATTTATTAAGTTCTTAATCCCCTAATAAAACTTCCCTGAGGCCAGGATGCCTATCTGATTTATTGTCATCTCGAGAATAAGTAGTCCTATATATGGGATAATTTAGCAGTCTAACTGAGACACTTGTGAGAGTGAAGTGAGATATTATTACTAATGTTTACATTTTATACCTTTCTTTCTAGTGGTTTCTGTCCTCTTATTTTAGGGTTTGGTTGATGGACCTCACCTGCCTTGTATTTGGCTTTAGTTTTCATGCATTCATCAGTAAAAATATTAGCATAATGTAGTATGCACTCAAATCTGAACTTCTTTTTCAAACAATCTCATATGAATGTCCTGGGAGAGACGTGGAAGTAATGACATGGGTAGAAAAAGATTAAGTAGTATTTTTTCAGTCATCTAAAAATGCATCATTATGTGTAATTAATGTCATATTCAGGAAACTGATGCTTAATGTAGTTATGTAAGCTTTACTTTTTTTTTTTTTAAGTTTAAGCCTTTCAAGTGTCCTAGATCTAGAATCCTAGAGACAGCCAGCATCATCTCTAGCCAAAGTACAAGTCTGATAACATCACTCTTTATTTTTATTTTAGGAATGCCACATTACTTTCAGAATTAAGCCAAAACAAAGCTTTTAATTACTTTTAAAGATTTATTTATTTATGCATACGAACTGGGGTGCAGGCCAGAGGCAGAGGGGCGGTGAGAGGATTCACCAGAGACAGCAGGTGAATCAGGAGAGGTCTGCCACTCCATGTGGATAAACTCCCCATGTGGATCACTTCCAGGAAAACAGCTGGCTCACTTGCAGTGCTGCGCTTTAACCCTCTGTGCCACTAGGGAGGGCCCACTTTTAGTTTCTTAAACTCTATGGTGGTCAAGTTGTGCTATGTGCAAATATATTACAATTAACAGGATACCATTCTCATTGTATACAGTTTTGTTATTTTGAGTCTATCTTTGCATTACTACCTCCAGAATAGGTAGTATGTCTTTTTATTATGTGGAATGCAGTATATGTTGTGACTGCCTTTAGTGTTTAAGTTATATAACAGCTATTTTCAAGGTTCATCCATATATTTTTTTTCTTTTTTTTTTAAGAACTATTTCGTTGTATGGATAATACCACAAATTTACCCAACTGTAATGGACATTTGAATTGTTTCTACTTTTTTAGATATTATGAATGATGTTGCTTTGAACATTTTGTACAATTTTATGGACATATTTTTCTTTTGAAATTGATGTATCATATGGTAACTTTAACTTTTGAGGAATTGTCAGTTTTTCAAAGCAGTTGCATGATTTTACATTCCCCTTTGACATTTTAGGAATGAATCAATTCTTAACTTATTTTGCCAGCACTTGTCATTACCCTTTTTTATATAGCCCTCCTGGTGATGTAAAGTGATATGTGTTGGTTTTGATTAGTATTTCTTTGATAACTAATGATAGATATCTTTTCATATTCTTATTGGGCATTGTATATGCTTTCTATTTTTTTAATATTAATTTTAAGATACAATTGTAATCTGTTTCCCCCCAGATGGTGGAAACAAAGTCAAAATTATCAGCATCAGAAAACAGAAAAAGGAATGCTGTTAGAGAAGAAAATGGAAGGAAATCATGTGTATCATTGAGTACATGCTTGGAAAAAATAGAGGAAATACCGGGAAAAAAGGAAAAGACTTCAGAGCTGCAAGTTTCAGTAGAATATAGTAAAAATATATCACTGTTTAAACAGGATGTGCGTTTACCTTCTATGTTAACCATACCCGATAAATTGCAAGAGAAAAACTCAGAAGATTCTGTAATACCCATTGAGCTTTCTGCAGATCCAGGTACATGGCCCCGGATTTTGAATATTAAACAACGAGACACTCTTGTTGAAAATGAGCCTCCTCAAATAAGAAATTTTAACTTTCCAAAAGACAATACAGGGAGGAAATTTTCAGAAACCTATTACACACGAATTTTTCCAAATGGTGATAAAACCACTAGATGCTGGTTGCTTTATTCAACCTCAAAAGATTCTGTGTTTTGTCTATATTGCAGACTCTTTGGGGAAGGAAAAAATCAGCTGAAGAATGAGAATGGGTGCAAAGATTGGCAGCACTTATCTCATATTCTTAGTAAACATGAAGAAAGTGAAATGCACATTAACAATGGTGTTAAGTATTCAAAATTAAAATCTGATTTGAAGAAGAAAAAAACTGTTGAAACTGCAAAACAGATTACATGATAATGAGAAAAATGGTATGCTATTGTACACATATACCTAATTTTGGTTTTTGACATATCAGCATCAAATATTTACTCAGAAAAGATGTACACTAACTGTATTACTGGTTTTGTGAGGTTCCTGTACAGAGTAACTGGCCATAGTTTGTTAGCAATAAGTATCATACCAAATTAATAGCAATGAATGTTTCCATTCCAAATTCTAAAGCTAATTGGATTCAATAGTCATTGCAGGTCTCAATAAAATTAATTGTTAATTTTCTCAGTCTCTCACTTTTATTTTTTTGAGATACTTTTAAAAAAATAATATAATAGTTTATTTTTACATCATTTTGTGCATTTTTTCATCTCAGTTGTAATCCCCGTGGATTTCCCATCACCAGGTCACCCATAGTCTGTCACTTTTTTCTCAAACCCTTTTAAATTGATATTTGAGGACTGACATTTGACAACTTGGATTAACTTTCTATTCTGATTATTTTGAAAGAAAGACTTAAGTTTATCAGTATCAGGTTAAACAATACCTATGTTAGTAAGAGTTGTTACTAAAGTAAAAACGTTCAGAAAAAGCTGCAGCTTTTTGCTATTAAACCAAATACTTGTTACTTATTTCTTAGCGCCAAATAGTATCACTTGTTACATTAAAGAAACTAAGGTAGTTTTAATTGCATTTTATTGGTTTTATTTCAACTTGTAAATGTCTTGGCTTTTATTGTTAAGCAGTAACTTTAAGTGTATATTATTTTTATGTTGGTACAAGTAGGAAAAATATTAAAATAAAAATATATTGAGTAAACCTTTACGTACTGTGATATTTTTTCCCCCGATGAAGACTCCTCATGAATTTGAGGAATGGGGCCTCCCTTCTGGTACAAGAGGTTAAGTCTCAGCACTATGAAACTATCTGCAGCATGTGTTTGATCCCTGGCCAGGGAACTAATCCATATGGTACAGCACATCTTTCCTGTTTTGTCCACTGCTTCCCTCAGCAGTGTGTTTCAGTCAGCCTGCCTGTTCAGGAACCCGCTCTGTCTCTGGTGAGCCCTTTTACCCCCCTCAGGCTTACACTGCTCTTATAAGCATAAATAAATGAAGTCATAAAAAAATTGAAGAATACGTTACAAAAATTAAAAATCTCACTTTTTCAGTGGCTAGTCGGTGTTACTGTCACTATGTATTTAGTAATTTTCTCTTTTGTTTGACTCCTGGTGCTAATTTTGTCATATACAAAACTATTATTTATTTACTTATGCATACAGAACTGGGTTACAGGCCAGAGGTGCAGGGGCTGTGAGAGGATTCACCAGAGACCATGGGCTAGTCAGAGAGACCTGTGCCATGTGGGTCACCTCCCTGGCTGGGATCCAACTCCTCCTGACTTGGCTATCCTCCTAGTACTGCGCTTTAACCCATTGTGCCACCAGGGAGTGCCCATATATTAAATTCTTTTGTAACTTGGGTTTCTCTGAAGACTTTTCCTGAAACTGACACAAGTTGTGACTAGGGGCCTTCCTGGTGAGTCAGGGGCTAAAGACAGCTCTATCAACAGCCACTATAGCCACTATAGCCCCATCCATCCCCTACCAATCAGGGAGCTAGCCCACATGGTGCAGCAGCCCTCTTCTGCTGCTCCCCTCAGCCGTGTATGGCCTACACCCCACTTCTTGTATGTATACAT